CTGTACTGGGAAATGTATAACTAATAACAGATGTCACTTCTGACGCACACATGTACTGGTCCTTTCCCACCCCCCATAGTATTTATAGATTACATCCTCCCTTCCTCTGGCCTCTCCTCATTGAATTTCGTAATGGAATGTTGAAACCGATTTCCTTCTGATATGATTTAGTTCGCTCTACTGAACTCTGTGTGCGTATTCTCACTCCCCCACAATTGACCTCTTTGAACCCTGAAACTCTGAGACGAGGCAAGAAGAGCCAAAGATCCTACAGTGCCGTCTTCTCTGTGTATGCTTTGCTTTCTGGTAGAAACAAACAAAAACCGAACACTTGCTGTAGGAAGTAAATTTAGAAATGTTAGTTGTCCCTAAGAAATACCCGGGTACCTTTTGCCTTGAATTCCCCCTGAACAAAAGCAAAGCACTTCCTGGTATGTGAGTATGCCTAGGCACTTGTGTGCATACAGTCTCATAGCTGTAAATGGGCAGCACAGTGGCTAAATGGTTAGAACTTCGTCCTGGCAGTACTCGGGTCGTTGGATTGAATCCCAACCACAGCATCACCTGCCTGGAGTTTGCATGTTCTCCCTGTGCCTGTATGGGTTTCCTGCGGGTGGGTTTCCTCCCACACTCCAAAGACATGCTGGTAGGTGAATTGGCTCCTGTTTAAATTGGCCCTAGTATGTGTATGTATGAATGTGAGTTAGGGACCAAGACCATCAGCAAGAAGCTTGGTGAGAAGGAGACAACTGTTGGAGCGATTATTCACAAATGGAAGAAATACAAAATAATCATCAATCACCCTAAGTCTGGAGCTCCATGCAAGATTTCACCTCATGGGGTAAGGATGATCATGAGAAAAGTGAAGGATCAGCCCAGCTAAACGGAGGATCTTGTAGGATCTCAAGGCAGTTGGGACCACATTCACCAAACAAATCATTGGGAACACAATACGTCGTAATGAACTGAAATCCTGTCCCCCTCCTCGAGAATGTTTATGTACAAGCCCGTCTGAAGTTTGCCAATGAACATCTAAATGACTCCAAGGATTGGGAGAAAGTGCCGTGGTCAGGTGAGACCAAAATCGAGCTCTTTGGCATTAACTCGACTCGCCATGATTGGAGGAAGAAAAATGCTGACTATGACCCCAAGAACACCATCCCTACAGTCAAGCATGGAGGTGGAAACATTATGTTTTGGGGCTATTTCTCTGCTAAAGCCGACTGCCCTCCTGAGATGTGAGCAAACCTGGTAACCAACTACAAGAAACATCTTACCTCTGTGCTGGCCAACAAGGCTTTCTCCACTGCTGGCTATCCCCGCTTCAGTCCATCCTGAATACGGCTGCCAGACTCATCCACCTTTCCAACCGCTCCGTATCCGCCACCCCCCTCTGCCAATCCCTCCACTGGCTTCCGATTGCACAACGGATCAAATTCAAAATCCTAACACTGATGTACAAAGCTGTCCACCATACTGCCCCGAACTACATCACTGACCTAATATCCAAGTACCACCCAACACGCACACTCCGCTCCTCACAAGACCTCCTTCTCTCTAGTTCCCTGGTCTCCTCCTCCCATGCCCGCCTCCAGGACTTCTCCAGGGTGTCACCCATCCTCTGGAACTCCCTGCCCCAACCCCTATCAGATTATCACCTACTCTCCTCTCCTTTAGGCGCACCCTGAAAACCCATCTCTTCAGGGAAGCCTACCCCACCCCCTGCTAACCTGCCGACCTCCTCCACTCTTCCTACCACTCCATCCCCCACAGCTATCTCTCCTGTACCACCATCCCTCTCCCTCCTAGATTGTAAGCTCCAAGGAGCAGGGCCCTCGATCCCCTCATGTTTTGTATTGTATTGGTATTGTTCTGTCACATGTTCTGTCCCCCTTTGTAATGTACAGCGCTGAGCGAACCATTGGTGCTTTATAAATACTCTATAATAATAATAATAATAATAATAACTACCAAGTCTTGTTTTACTTGGGAACCAAATACTTGTTTTACTCGCTGAACTCCATTCATAATATTTGTATCGTGTTTTTTTCTGAATGTTTGGTTGATATTCTGTCTCTATCATTTAAAATGCACCCATGATAAAAAATGATAGACCCTTCATTTCTTTGTAAGTGGGCAAACTTACAAAATCTGCAGGAATCAAATAATTATTTTCCCCACTGTATGTAGCACTGTAGTGTAGCACAAGGATGTGCCGAGGAGGGTGGCCACATCAGACATACTGGGAGGGCATGGAAGTGTACAGGAGCCACCCTCCAGAAATGCAGTGAGACCCAAACGTTTGATGAAGGAATTTGTCAGAAGCAGGGGCGGACTGACCATTTGGAAACTCGGGCACTGCCCAAGGGCCTGGGGTCAGTAGGGGGCCCCATGAGATGCCCCTGATACCTTTTTCATAGGCTTTTTTTGAGTTTGGGCAAGGACACAGGGGCCCCATGATCCCCTATTTCCCAGGGGCCCCATGAGTTATCAGTCCGCCCTTGGTCAGAAGCCTTCCTTGCGTAAGCCAATGGAAATTGGTTTTATTGCACAAGTTTAGAATCCCTTTCTGCGCAGCCCCAGCGTCCCTTTAACTGGAATATTACACCCAAGGAGCAGGAAGGTTTTCTTAATCATAAGAGCACAGTGATTGACAGTCGCAGTAGTCACATGATCACGAGTCGGTCCCACTGGCTCACAATCATTACTAGAGACCTGGAGTTGTCTTTGAAAGTTTGGCCATTGTGTTGGAAGACTGCTCTCAGCACAAAGTTCTCTGTCGCCCACGATCGTATATGTGTGGTATGCGGGCGTCAAAGCCCACCCTTTTTGCTGCTGCACATATGCATTACGGTGCCTTGAAAAAGTATTCATGCCCCCCGAGAAATTTTCCACATTTTGTCATGTTACAACCAAAAATGTAAATGTATTTTATGTGATAGACCAATACAAAGTGGCACATGATTGTGAAGCGGAAGGAGAATGATAAATGGTTTTCAAGATTTTTTACAAATCAATATCTGAAAAAATATCTGAATGCATTTGCATTCAGCCCCCTTTACTCTGATACCTCTAACTAAAATCTAGTGGAACCAATTGCCTTCAGAAGTCACCTAACTAGTAAATTGAGTCCACCGGTGTGAAATTTAATCTCAGTATAAATACAGCTGGTCTGTGAAGCCCTCAGAGGTTTGTTAGAGAACACTAGTGAACAAACAGCATCATGAAGGCCAAAAGGAACACACCAGACAGGTCAGGGATAAAGTTGTGGATAATTTTAAAGCAGGGTTAGGTAATAAGAAAATATCCCAAGCTTTGACCATCTCACAGAGCACTGTTCAATCCATCATCCAAAAATGGGAAGAGTATGGCACAGCTGCAAACCTACCAAGACATGGCCGTCCACCTAAACAGACAGGCCGAGCAAGGAGAGCATTCATCAGAGAAGCAGCCAAGAGGCCCGTGGGAACTCTGGAGGAGCTGCAGAGACACAGCTCAGGGGAGAGAATCTGTCCACAGGACAACTATTAGTTGTGCGCTCCACAAATCTTTATGGAAGAAAGGCAAAAACAAAGCCATTGTTGAAAGAAAACCATAAGAAGTCCTGTTTGCGAGAGCCATGTGGGGGACACAGCAAACATATGTCAGAGAGTGCTCTGGTCACAAGAGACCAAAATGTATGAGTGGAGGAAGGAGAGACAAGGACTCCTGTGGAAGGTGCTGCTGCTGAGGCCAAGAAATGTATATAAGGAGAGATCTAGCTGATGGGGTGCTATAAAGATATAAGTAACAGGATTATTCCAAAGAGGAGATTAATCGAGAGATCCCTGCAGTGATACTTATATGAGGTGAGCGCATATAGAGAATATAATAAGAAGTCACCGGGAATTGCGATTTCACATTCTGGATTTGTCACTGTCATCACTAGAGACTGTTTTTTTATCACTTTTTTAACTACTTTTTTATTGGATGTATATCACATTATCACAATGGATTACATGGATAGAGATTATTTGTAGTATATATTTTATATTATTCTTGAGAGACAGAATTTTATATGTTTATTAGCAATTTAGGAGCGCAGCACGATCATTTAAAGAGGAAAGATAACACTGCACATCACCCTGAACACACCATCCGCACTGTGAAACATGGTGGTGGCAGTATCATGTTGTGGGGATGCTTTTCTTCAGCAGGGACAGGGAAGCTGGTCAGAGTTGATGGGAAGATGGATGGAGCCAAATACAGGGAAATCTTAGAAGAAAACCTGTTAGAGTCTGCAAAAGACTTGAGACCAGGGAGGAGGTTCCCCTTCCAGCAGGACAACGACCCGAAACATCCAGCCAGAGCTACAATGGAATGGTTTAGATCACAGCATATTCATGTGTTAGAATGGCCCAGTCACAGTCCAGGCTAAATCCAATGGAGAACCTGTGGCCAGACCTGAAAATTGCTGTTCCCAGACGCTCTCCATCCAATCTGACAGAGCTTGAGGGATTCTGCAAAGAAGAATGGGCAGAAATGTCCCTCTCTAGATGTGCAAAGCTGGGAGAGATGTCCCCAAAAATACTTGAAGCTGGAATTGCAGAGAAAAGAGGTACTACAAAGTATTGACTCCGGGGGGCTGAATACAAATGCCGCCACACTTTTCACAGATTTATTTGTAAAAAATTTTGAAAACCATTTCTCATTTTTTTTCCACTTCACAATTATGTGCCACTTTGTGTTGGTCTATCACATCCAATCCCAATCAAATACATTGACGTTTTTGGTTGTAACATGACAACATGTGGAAACTTTCAAGGGGTATGAATACTTTTTCAAGGCACCGTAATGCTTATATGCATCAGCAATAAGGGTGGGTTTTTAACGCCCACATACCACACATATACAAAATTTCAAGGAGTGTGAATACTTTTTCAAGGCACTGTATATGGGCTCTGAGAGATTAAAACGAGAACAGTGAAGGTCCCCTCAATACACACCCAAAATAGACTCACCTAATATTCCAATGTTATCATATACACCAAACAGAGACCTCTTCTCAGTCCAGCGGTCGGTGTTTTTGGGCTGGGGCAGATAATTCCGCACCAGATTCCTGCATCCTGTAAACACCATAATAGGAGACGAGTCAGACTCTGAACAACGACCGACATATGTACTCACACTTCACTATACTGGATAGTAACACTGAAAGCTCAAAGTACCACACAATACCACAGCAACGGATACGCCTGAATATTTTCTTTAACTACTTTTTATCCGGGGAACACAATTTTTCACATACATTAAAATCTGCATCATTTTCTAGAAAGTTACTGACCCCCCTCCACCCAAACAATGATATATTTTCCAAATGGTAAATATCAAATTCTCAAAAAGTTCCAAAAGTTACTGACCATGTATTCAGGGTATGCTGTGGTTAGATGTCCAGTTGCTGCATCCCCCCCTGATGCGTTTCGTGCGATGCACATAGTCATAGGGATAAGGCTTACAGCGTGGGCATCTATAGTGGTGCTATTTATATTCTGCAGTGGCAGATTAGGCTTGAAGCGCCTGCCATCTTGCTGGCTATCGGCGCATGCGCAGATCGTCGGCGCCATCTTGCCGACTTGCAGCGCATGCGCGGCGCCATTTTGTCGTGGATCGCATATGCGATCCCTAATAGGAAAACAGTCTCCCTTAGTGCGGCGCCATTTTACCGGCGGTAATAGAGAATACTGAAGTAATGCCTAATTCATCATCATGAATTGTGCATATATTGTGATGGGGAACGAGTCTCTATGCAAAAATATATTAGGAATAGGGACCTCTATAGGATCGTGGGGGTCATGAGGTATTAATAGTGATCCCTCATGTGCACGTTAATGTGCGGAACCCACCCTATTACACATAAATATATCTTTTTGTATTGTGTGGAATAGTTAGTGATGAAAGGACATATCCGCTTTTGTTTTTGTTTAGAAATGTTATTCAACATCAACTTTCTGTTAACTCTTTAAATATTACGCTCACGTTTGAATACAGTCAAGTTAGTGTCTGCCGATGTAGTAAGTATACGAATAAAAGTAATTACTTTTTATCTACAACAAGGGGCAAACATCATGCTATTGAGGATTTTATTACTTGTACAAGCAGATTCGTAGTGTACTTGCTCCAATGTCCATGCAACCTTCAATATGTTGGACGCACTACTAGGCGCCTCAGGGACAGACTAAAGGAGCACGTTAACAACATAAAAAAGGGGTATAGGGAGCATTCCCTGTTGCATCATTATAAGATCCATCATAATAAAGCTCCATCGTCTCTCAGATTTATGAGCATAGGTATTATCAATGCCCACTGGCGAGGAACAAATAAAAGACGAGCAGTGTCACAGCTCGAATCGAGATGGATCTACGAATTAGGCTCCCTACACCCCAGAGGACTGAATATAGATTTCGATCTAAACTGCTTTCTGGATAATAGCTAGGGTGAGTAGGACATAAAATCTATTTTTTTTTTTTTTTTTTTTTTTTTTCTATTTCAATGGTTTTTATTAAATTTTTTAAACAGTATAAACAGAGACAGTAAAACACGCCCACGCAGGGGCTATCAATTGCACAGATAAACAAAATGCCAAATAAAAAAAAAGGGAAAAAACAATGCTCTAATGCCAACAGGGCAAAAGGTACGCCCACGCAGGGGCTATCAATGGCACATAAGTTACAAAACATTAATGTAACTGATTATAACAACTAAATGCAGCTGTCCTAGTCACACCAAAAACAGAGAGAGAGAGAAAAAAAAAGAAAAAAAAAAAAAAAAAAAAAAAAAAAAAAAAAAAAAGGGGGGGGGCAAAGAGCAGGGATTCAAGAGCGCCAACACCGAACGCCATTACATCCCCAGACTAGCCGGGGAGAGTGAGGGAAGGGCATATTGCAACCACGGCTCCCATATTTTCAAAAATTTACGTTGGGAGTCATTGCGGATACTCGACATCTGTTCGTTGAGCATCATAGTGGTCATACGATCCCGCACCCCCTGAAGAGGGACAAACGGACTCCTCCAGGCCTGAGCAATTGTTCTAGTGGCGGATAAAAAAACAGATAGGAAGCCAACTTCTGCTGGTGAGCCAAGAGGCCCGGTATGGGGCAATGAAGCAAAGCATACCGAACATCCCGGCGTATGGAGAGATGGAACAAAGTGAAAAGGAGGCCAAATACACGAGACCAAAAACGAAACAGTCTCGGGCATGACCACCAGATATGCAATACATCACCACGATGACCACAACCCCGAAAACATCGATCACTACAGGCAGGGTTAGCCCGGGCCAACCGAGCCGGAACCCAGTACCAACGAAACAATACCTTATAGGCTGCCTCCAGTGTGGTCGTATTAAATGAGCATTTAGCTATGAGTGACCAGGCCTTATTCCAGTCCTCCGGATCCACAGCCACTCCCAGGTCGCGCTCCCACTGAACAACATATGAAAGAGAAGTATGCGATGAGCGTCTGTTCAGAGCTGCATAAAGAAGGGATATAAGGCCCGGAGCGCCCGGACGCTGTTGGCAAAGCTGTTCAAAGGCAGATTTCTGGTACGGGAACGCAGAAGTACCCCGCAGCGAGAGCAGCCAGTGTCGCAATTGAAGATATCGAAAAAATTCCGCTGGGGGGATATTCCGGGATTCCCGAAGAGAGTCCCAGGTGGGAAAGGACCGAAAAATCAAAAAGTGTCGCACCTGCGAAAAACCATTAGTCACCCACCAAGAAAACGCCCCTGGGTGATCCAAACCCGGCGGGAAAAGAGGGTTGTTAATAATAGGTAGCAAAGGCAGAAAAGGTGACATCAGACCACCAGAATAACGTACCGAGTCCCAAACTTGTAGGCCATGAAGTAACATCGGACTCAGTGCCATAGGGCGCAGGGCAGGGGGAAGCCATAGAAGCGTCGACAGTGCGATAGGGGCACAATTAGGTAGTTCCAACAGGACCCAGAGGGGGACGTCGGAAGAGGCGTGCAACATAGACAGCGGGGCAATCTGGCTCGCTTGATAATACTTAGTCACATTAGGCACCCCAAGACCACCCTGAAGTCTATGGGCAAAAAGCGTACTTTTGGATACTCTGGGGTGCTTATCGGCCCAGATAAAACGCATTAACTTCGCCTGAAGCAACCTAAGAAAATGAGGGGGAACCCGCACCGGGAGTGTGCGAAAATAATACAACAATTTCGGCAAGATGGTCATTTTCACCGAATTAACCCGTCCTATCCAAGACAGGTGCGGAAATTGCCAAGAATGCATAAGAGAGGATAGAGAGCTAAGCAATGGATAATAATTTGCAGCAAACAAGGAGTCATAAGTGGGGGTCAAGCGAACGCCTAAGTATTCAAGAGAAGAGGAAGCCCATTTGTAAGGGAAGTGGGATTGTAGGCGCGAAACCAAATCCGAAGCCAAAGTAATATTGAGGGCTATAGTCTTATCCAAGTTGATACGGAGACCCGAAATCAAGGAGAAGCGCTCAAGAACCTGTTGCAAATTAGGAAGCGTCGTCAGGGGGTTAGTAAGAGTCAGGAGGGCATCATCCGCAAAAAGATTCAGTTTGAATTCCTGTCCCGCGTAAGGAACCCCCGATACATTGCAATCGGTCCGAAGCGCTAAAGCCAGCGGCTCAAGCGCGCCAGGACAAAGAGCGCTGGGGACAGGGGACAACCCTGTCTTGTCCCTCGCCCAATAGGAAAGGGATCTGAAAAATACCCAGCGTATTTGACGGAGGCCGAAGGAGAAGAATACAAGGCCTGGATCCAAGAAAGAATAGAATCCCCAAAACCCCAACGAGACAGCACAAACCGCAGATATTCCCAGGATAGAGAATCAAAAGCTTTATAGATGTCTAAAGACAGTAAGAATCCTGGGATTTTCCGTTGTTGCAGAAAATGTATAAGATGGACCACCTTACGGACGTTATCACCCGCCTGCCTCCCGGGGACGAACCCCACCTGGTCCCTGTGGACCAGGCTACGCAAATATTTATTGATGCGAAAACTAAGGATCTTGCCCAGTATCTTCAGGTCTTCATTAAGAAGAGAAATAGGCCGGAAGGCTTGCGGTTCCTGTACATCATCAGTCGTCTTAGGAATCATGGCGATATGCGCTCTAAGCGCATCTGGAGAGGGCGAGGAGCCCCTGTCGTAACGCATTAAAATACTCAGCCAAAAAGGGCGCCAACAAGGCTGAGAATTTCTTATAATAAAGACCGGAAAAGCCGTCGGGACCTGGGGCCGCGGTGGACCGTAAAGATTTGATAGCTTGGAGCACTTCTGGTACAGTGACACCGGCGTTGAGTGCCACCTGTGCCGCCTCGGATAACCCAGGAAGTCGGAGATCTTGAAAGAATGCCTCTGCCTGAGCCACGGGGAAGGGATCTGGTTTAGCGTAGAGGCGTGAAAGGAAGTCTGAGAAACGGGAAACAATCTGCTGGGGATTAGAAGTACAGCCACCTGTAGGAAGTCGCAGTCGAATCGGTTTATGGGGTTTCCCCACAGAATTGAGTTTCCTGGCCAGCATCGGGCCCGGCTTATTAGCACAGGAATAAAATTTGTGTTTGGTCCAGCGCAGGGCCCGTTCTGCCTCCGAAGAGGCAAGTAAGTCCAACTCTGCCGCCAGAGCGTCCCGAGCGCGTTTATGGGCCGCGGATGGAGATGACTTCCAACGCGCATCCGCAGAGGCCAGGAGAGAATGAAGCTCCAAAAGTCGGCGCTCCCGCTCCCCGCTTCCGGACCGCCGCCAGCTGTATAACATGACCCCGCACCGTGGCCTTATGCGCCTCCCATAGGGGCACTGCAGAGGAGACCGATCCCGCGTTTTCCGTAAAGTATGTTCGTAAAAAAAATTCTATTTGTTGGCAGGTAGCCTGAGTGGTCAATAAAGAATCATTGATGCGCCAATGAAAAGGGCGCCGTTCTGACCCAGAGAGGGCAAGGAGAAGTACCAAGGGATCGTGATCCGACCAAGGCGAGGAGGGAATAGTTATCCGCCTGACCAAGGGAAGCTGCTGAACCTGCATAAATATATGATCAATTCTACAAAAACTATCATGAGGACTGGAATAGAATGTAAAGTCCCGTTCCGTTG